CCAGTCATCTTCAGCATTTCATTTGTCTTCATAGATTTAAAGGCATCCATCAGCAATCTATGACAAAGGTGTGCTGCCATAGTAGGTGCCTTGAAAATGGATAGGGATCCTGTGTGTTATAAGAGCGCTTACACTGTGGGAAGAGGAAACCTCTAGATGAATATATAAGTGGAGTAGAATGTGATGTGGTTTATGAGATGCTGCTTGGGGAGATGCATAGGAAGGAGTAATCAACTTCTTAACTTGGTGCAAGGTTGTGGTTTATAGCAGACTTTACAGAGGAGATACTGTATGAGATGTTTCTTGAAGAATGAATAGTTACTGGAAAATTATGCAGGAAGGGTATAAAAATAAGGTATAGTATAGAACAACCATGTGTTTTCAGATTGTTACTATTACTTTTATATGGGATAGATGATGGCAAGAGAAAGCAGAATTGTATTAAAGATTTTGTTTTTGTTTTGGCCTATGCAAAGGAATTTGAGCTTTTATTTTAAAAAATCATTTCTTTTATCCCCCAATGTCAATAACTAAACAGAGGTATTCTGGTGTAGGTGGGGTTTTGGAGGCCAAAAGTTCTTGACTCCTTGGTGACCATGACATCCTTCTTAGAAGCACCAGGACATCATGAATATGGTTTAAAATCCACAGCTGTAGGTAATGCTGAATTACTTGAAAGGAAGTAATATGGTCATGCTTGTACTTTTCAAAGGTCACTAAAATTCACAAAAGGGGTGAGATTGATGTGAAGAAACCAGTTGAGAGATAGGCCTGAACTAAGCTGGAGGCAGTGAGGAAGGGACAAGTTTGAGTCTTGTTGAAGAGAGAGGAATGGCAAGATTTAGTGGTTAGCTGTAGGGAGTACACTGAAGGGAAGGAGACTAGAGTGATCCCCAGCATTCTAGTTTGTGTTCTTGCCTTAATAACAGAGCTACTCACTTTAGGGAAATACAGGACAAGGATTGGGATGAAGAAGACAAAAGAGATTGGAAAGCAAAGATCATCAGTTCAGATGTGTCCAGTTGAAGCTTGAGATATCGTGTGAGGTGAGACGCTTAAGCAGAGATAGTCACTGGGGCCAGAGCTCAGTGGAGAGGTCTGCTTGAGGGTAGAAGTGTAGATCTCATTAGACCACAGAGGACCCTTAAAGCTATTGGAGGCAAAGATCACCCACAGATAGAGCAACCAGAAGACATGAGAGGAAAATGAAGGTTATTACTTTGTAATAACAGTAGTTGAGGATCCCAGAATGAGGAACACACCTGGGAGACTAAAGAGGACGGTAAATTTTGGGCAGTGCTAGGAGAGAGAGGCATCCACTGATGGAGGGAGGGCAAGTAAAATCAGGGACTGATTCCAAACACAAAACCCACCTTCAAATGATAGTCTTTGTACCACTGGGGTTAAATAAAAGAATATGTTCTGGTTCCATGTGGTACAGATGGAAGTTTTATGGTTATGATGGTTTAACGCCCAGTGTCTTTTTGAAATTTTTAATTTAATGTAATAAACATTTTCAAGAAATTTTTTGTTAAACTAGCACAAACTTGCACAAGGTAGATTAGCAGAGTTTAAGATGAAATGAAACAATAATAATCAGAATGGTATATGTACCAGGAAGCTTCTCCTCACAAGAACCCATGGGAGTGTTCTGTTCTCATAGCCATTTGCAGTTACAGAAAGGATCCACAGTTAGGAGATAAGAACTGGGATCTTAAGATGCTTAGTCCTATGATCAGTCCTAGATCCATAGATTTCTTGTGAAAAAAATTATTAATGAAATGAAATTTGACCTCCAGAGCATGTTTCCTAAACCTGTATCTTTCCCTATATTTTGAGGGGAGAGGAGAGAGAGTATGTTTTGGTAATAGGAGATTGTTTAAAAATTGGAACTTGTCTAAAGACAGTTCTGTGCTACTATTGGTGGAAAAAATGGCCTATTAACATTTTTATGGGTAAAGTCAGTCCAACACTGTTGAGTATCCAACACTATTTAAAGAGAAAAGTATCATTGTCAGTTGTCTTATAAAAAGAATGATCTCTTGACCCCCTGAAATTCCCTTTTTGTGCAGTGACATTTTTTATCCTAAATTTTATAAAATACTATATTTTAGGGTCTGAATGCTGAATCTAAGTTCTTCTTTTCTAATATTAAGTAAATTTGTTTTTGTGATAGAATTTTTTTTATCATCCAGATATATTTCTCTGTATTTTTACTGAATAGTTATTAGATGTGTTTTCTTGTAAACTTGTGTTTTGTATTAATTCTTGTCTTGAAAATGTGATGGAGATGAATTTTTATAAAATTTATTGGTAATAAAACTGACTTTTGGGGGCTGTAATTCAATGAGTTTTAACGTATGTTTAAACTTATGTAACAACCACCACAATCAGGATACAGAATAGTTCTGTTATCACCAAAATACTCTCATGCTGTCCCTTACGTAACCAAATTCCTCGCAACCAAATGGAATCATGCACCATTCAACCTTTTTGATACTGGCTTTTTTCACTCAGCATAAGCCTTTGAGATTCATCCAAGTGGCTGCATGTATTAGTTAGCCATCACTTTTTCTTGCTGAATAGTAGTCCACTGTGGTGATGTACCACAGTGTATTTATCCATTAACCTTGTGTATGAGTTTATAATTTATGTAACAATAATTTCTTAAGACTCTTCCACTGCTCTTTGGTTTTACAGTATTTGTTTTTCAAGTTCTTCATTCACTGATTGACAAATATTTATTGAAAAGTATTAGGCAGACAGGAATATAGTGATGACCTGAACAGACAGCATCCTCTGCCCTTATGAGACTTTATTCCTTTAAGTCCTTCCTCCTCAGTCTTATAGAGGCTGCTCAGGATCTATGGAAAACAAGATCCTTGGATACAATTTAAATGATATGAAAAGCAAGGAAGAGGTAATGGCTTTTTAAAAAATATTTTAGTAGGTTCAAAAGGGAGAATAATTTATTTTCACCGTGTTTTTGGAGCCATCTAGGTGTGTACTTTGTCTTCTATTTTATATATTTTTACATTTTGCTGAAATACTGTGTAGCCATGGACATCATGATGCACTACATGATTTTTTGAGGCTCCTTCCAACTTTACATGAAGTAGGGTGTCTCACACAAGGAGCAGTACTGTTGTTAGACTACCCATCGATGCCCAGATGTCTCTGAAATTAAGATTAGAGGTCACAAATTGGCTGTTGCCCAAGTACTGATCAGCCCATTGGTGTTTCTTGTTTGGCCCCCCTCCTATTTTTAAATACTCTCAAGTGAGTTTCCAGAATTTACAAAATCAGGAGTCTTTGCATTAAAAAAAAATGTAGATTTTTTTGTTTACATTGAAAATTCATGAATCTAGCATTGCTGAGCCAGTTTTTCTGAACTGAGCGGAAGGGTTGGCTGGAGCTTGAATAGTGGCTGCCGTTTTAGACAAAGCATGTGCTCTGTTTGGGAAACCTCTGCTGTACTCATTCATGTTATCTGCCTGGCCCTAGTGAGTACCTGGATTTGCAAGCCTTGGATGCTGGGTTTCATGTATTGGAGAAGTTGAGCATTCTTCTCTGTGCTGGAGGGCTAAGAATATTCTTATCTTAGAAACTGATTGGGTGTCCAACTGGGTACATCTCTTAGTATAGTATATATAATACTGGCACTCTTAAGAGGCAGAAATCAGGGTCATTTTCCTGACTGGTGCTATCAGGTTATCTTGGATCCTTCACAGTGGAGATACTATTTCCTGCCTTATCTGTTCTGTCAGCTAAAGGAGTTATTGATTCTAAGCAACAGAAACAGATTCTGGTGAATTGGAACAAAATGAGACTTTATTAAAAGGGTGTTGAATAACTCATATCAGAGAAAAAAGAGCGTGATCTGCACTCAGAAAGTTTGCAAAACCATGGATACTCCAAAGATCATGGGTGGCAGAGATTAAGGAATTAATATATTACCTCCAGGGGCCGGAGATTTAGCTCAGTGGTTCTGAGTCCAAGATCCTGGAAAAGAGAATCGAAGCACACTTTGATTGATAGTACCTCTAAGACTATAAGCAATAAGAGAAAAGATTGTCCTAAGAGGGGATCTAGGTGCTGTTTTCAGACAAAAGGGAACTGGGTTTAGATATAAGCAACAGAAACAACAAATATGCACTATACTTCTCAAGGTGATCGTGAAAGTATTAAATAGACACTGTAAAATGCTGCAGAAGCATAAAGAAGTGATATTTCAAGTTACACGAGAACTAGTAATGAGTGTGCTTTATAAGTATGCAAAAGTACTGACATCCATTAATAAGGATTATATTGAATAACAGAAAGTAACGATTTCATTGCTTGCAGCCACTGCCTTGGTTATAAAATTGCCCAAGAAGCTGCACCAACTTTGAATAACATTTATAAAATCTAAAGATATTTGTGAAGGTATAATTTTCTTTTTGATTTTTGCACTCTTGTTTCTTTTTTTTCTTGGAAGATCTTGATTTGCAACAAGCAAGGAAAATGAGCACACCCCGCCCCCCCCCCCCCATCACTGATGTGGGTAGAAATTGAAAGTAATGATTCAAATAAGAGAGGCAGAAGAGAAAGCCTCAGCTGGGTGGTGGGAAACAGAACGAAAGTCAGACTGCTCTTTTTTAAAAAGGCAAAACAAACAATTCACGGTGAAGTGTACGTGAAAATCATTTCTAATAGTAGCTTATGGTAGGCAATTCCCAGGAAAAAAATCATTGGTGTGCTGAGAAAATTAGAGTGAGAATGCACAGTGTCTTGATGTGTTACTTAAGGCAATGGAGCTTTAGAGTTTACCTTATGTGCCATGTACATTGATTAAATACAAAATATATGCTGGCCATTTTTGACCATCATTTACCGTATTGATTTGTTAGCAGGGGAACTGTAATAAAAAAGCCATTGATTTACTGTCCTTATTTGCTTATGGGCTTTTTTATTATTAATTTTTCACTTTTTCTTTCTCTTTTTTGGATCATTTCTTCTAGACAAATGCTGTGCTTCAAGAAGTTAAAAGAGAGGGGCGCCCTGTGGAACAAAGGAATGAGATGCTGACTGCCATCCTTGCCTTGCTCACCACCCGCCAGAACCTTAGGAGGGAATGGCAAGCCAGGTTAGTTCTCTAATGAAATGGGATCTGTTGTTCCTGACAAACAAGGGCCATCTTTGGCTAAGCCCTTCCTTATTGCTGGTCTCATCCCTCTCATTTTAAGGGGCCATGAAAAATCAGCAAGTTTAAGATGTTTTCAACTAGTTAGCTTTCCTATCCATGGTAACCTACATTAATTATAATGTTCTATGACATCTGTATGTGTAGATGGTTTTTTCCTGAGTGTAACAATTTTCATACATGTCTCCATCTTGAGCATAATGTAATGTAAGTACCTAATGTTGAAGAGCCCCTTTAATTCAGCGCTCTAGGACTCTAGCACTGCCACTTAGTTAGAGCAGATGTTTGGGAGAGCCACATAGTGCTCTTTTGTCCCTCTATTTAGGGAAGATTATTTGAAAGTCTATTTATCAACCCCAGTATTAGAATTGACCAAGTTGGAATGATTTTTGCTTCATTCTAGTTTCTTTCCACATGGACTTACCTGTGGTTAGAAAACTGTAACTGGCAGAAAGTTTCAGTAAATTATCAGCTTTTATAGAAATAGAAATAGTGTGTGCATAATAAATTTGTTATCCTGCTCCTTTTTTGGGCGGGGGGGGACCAGGGATCGAACTCGGGACCTTGGGCTTGCTAGGCAGGCGGCGGAACCACTGAGCTAAATCCCCGGCTCTATCCTGTTTCTTTTTGAAAAACAATTGATATGTGGAAAATTGGAACTAGTTCCTCTAAATGTTAGAGTTATCCTTCACATCTGTGGTTTGTAAAAATTAATTCAGTAATAACTCAGTATCATCTGTCTCTGAGCAAAAGGGAGAGGAATCGGGTAAATTATACTGTATTTTGTCTTAGAGCCTTATTTGATGGGGAGGAAGTCTATGTGCCTGAGAGTCAAGAACATTTATTGATAACTGCAATATTATCCAAGTGACTTCATACAACAGAATTTACAGTCATGATAGCTTTGCTAGTAATAATTGTCATAAAAATAGATTTGTTTGGACAAGGCTGGACAGATGAACATTTTTCAAGAACGGAGACAGTGTGAACTATTGATTTTGATTGGATATCAGAAAGCTGCTTTTTCAAATGTGTATTTTATCTCTAAATTTAGACTTGCACATAAGAATCGTTAAGAAATTCACAATGATATTTTCCTGCTTTTTTTTAGTATGGTCATAGTAAATGGCACACATTTTCAACCACAGTAAGGACTGAATAATTTCCAATTTAACTTTTAAAGGGGAAAGGGAAGTGGGAGGGGTAGGGAAAGGAAAGAAAGGAATGGAATTAATATGAGAAAATGAAAAAATGGAAACAAAGTCTTTGTAAATAGGGAGGGGTGGAGAGGTTGAAGGGAGGGCAGGGGAATGGGGAAAAAATAAGAACCAAGATCATGTAAAGGTACAAATTTCCAATGATACATCTCCTTATATTGTATACCTAAAATGTACCAATAAAATTAATTTTAAAAATCATTAATACCGATGCACTACTTGCTAGGAAAATTTAGCATCCAACTTGATAGACTATGTAAGTGTAAAATAAACAGTAATTACAAAGGCTAATATGAAAAATATAAAATAATGAATAACTTTTATATTGATAGTGTTTATATAACACCATTTTGGCTATAGTAGATAAGATAAAAGCAGTATTAAAATGTTAAAAATAGTTAATTTAAAATTTTTTATATTATAATTTAAGTGTTATTTTCATTAAAGTTTGCATATTTTATTAAATAATGCAATATCAGTGTGGGGATATTGAAGAGCTTTCTGTCTTTGTGTGTTTTCTGTCTTCCCATGGTGATTCTTATTAAATAGGAAAGAGAGGTAGAATTCCCTTGTAATCTCTTTTTCATAACCCTTCCCTCCAAAGACAGTAGGGCCCAGAGAGAGCATACTTTGAGAATGGATGTCTTTTGTTGAGTGCATTGGCTTTGTTAACAATAATTTCCTAATACACCAAATCATCAGACAACATGACCAAAATGGCCTGTTTAAAAGGAGTCTGGTTTCAGCATTTCTGGCCCTTACTGCTAACAATTTAATCAGGAGCTGGAGCCAGTGTTGAAGTTGATGTAGTCTAGCATCTGAAACAAAAATTCTCAAGTTCTCTGTGGCAGGGAAGGAAGAAAGAAAACACTTAGCTGCTGACACTCTGCAGGCTCCGTTAAAACCAAACACCTGAAAGAAAATTTCAAGAGGGAGATGGCCTGAGAGCGCAGAAGGCAAAGTATCCTCAGAGTATTAAATAACCATAATCCTTCCTCTCATTTGATGTTTCTCATTTCGGTGCCCTATCTAAAAGACTCATCCATATGATCCATATAAACAGACAGTCACCATATACCTCTCTTTTCCTCATCAAAGTGTCATCTGGACGTCTGGAATCAGGCATTGCTGGAGTAGCCATCGAGCCTGTGGTGGTGAAAGTTATAAAACATCCACAGCAGCACTCACTGAGCTGCCTGTGTTGTAGCAATTGGCCTATTGTGTACTTTGGAATTACATGAGGAAAAATGTGCTTTGACAGAAAATAATTAGCACTCACCAAAGGCCAAGCAATAGGTTAGAGCATTTTACTTTCATCAAAGCTATCAGGGGATCAGTTAGATTAGATAACAGAAATTTTTTCCTCTGAAAGTTACATACAGATGACTCTAATTAACTTATATTACACATTAGAGAATGCATTATGAACTGTACAACTTCAAGAAATTTAGGTCAGCCAAGACTCTGCAGCTGGCAATAACTTTAGCTTGCGTCTATTGTAATAAACCCTCTCTTCAGCAGGTTCATTTGCAATCATGGTATCAGAAAGAATATTTTCAGTGAAACTTGTAACTTGCTCCTAAAACATTGGTTTCTCTCTGAGGCCAGCAACTGAGCCATTGTTTGGGACTCTAGGCAGTCTCTTTAAACTGAAAGCATATGTTCCCTGTAATTTAGTGTCTTGAGGAAAGTGTCAATTCTGCATGACTCGGGGTAACTGAGTTTGTCACAGTGTCACACAACCCTGCGATTCTAGAGGCACATCTGAGTGCTGTGGGTTTCCTTCCCCAAACTGAGTAATCCCATAAACAGCCCTCTCCAAATAGGCTTATTAGGGCTGTCTATTCACTTCCCCAGAGTTGAATGATCCAAAGTACATCAGGAGCCGCTGTGTGAATGCAGGGTAAGTGTTAACAGAAGTGGTACAGAATTTCTGAAGATTTGGCTTTGTTTATACAGTCCACTCTGCCTGATGGACAGCTTGTTATAGCTTTTAAAGAACTGGGCAAGCCCTCTGATCTGACCCCTTCTTGACCTCTACAGCCCAAAGGTCAGCCTGCAGCTAATAAACTCAAAGGTTCTTAGGGTCTACTGTAGGAAAAGGCAGAAAAAGAGCAGCTGCAAGGACTAGGTATCCCAGGATCGGCTGCTTTGGGGTCACTCTCTGATAATGAAAATGATTACCAAATTATATGGAAGTTTAACCGCAATAGTGAGTGAGAGGAGGGTGGAGCCCAGCGTATTAAGTTTGATAAATGAACTGTGAAGAGGCCCATCTGGCTCTCAACATCTCTTCTCCTCCTCTTTCCCTACCAAGGGGAAACATTTTAAAATAACAGCAGTACATATAGACTCAATGACCCATGCAAGGAGCTGGAATGGATTAAGATTTAATGGTGACAGTGGAAGAAATTATCATTTGAAAAGTGCACCAAAGAAAAGGTACAGTTCAATGTCCATGCATGAGTTGTTTTTCTCTATAAAATATAAAAACCTGTGCCTTTGTTTATTTTATGCACATCCTCATTGTCTTACATAGATTGCTGAAAATTTTGAGGGTATTTTTTATCATGGGATAATTATTTATGGGTCATCTTCAGGGAAGAAATATGCCTCCTTTGCTTTGAACATGTCAGAATGAGAATCAAACATTTTGTTTCTGCCTGCTTGCTCAGTTTCAATGATGTAGGTTAATCAAGTGTTACAGAAAATGCTTTACAAAAAAAATTGGTGTCTATTTCAGCATCTGACTATTATGTTATTTTTAAAACTATTTTATATTTTCTTTTTATTCTTTCTTAAAACATTTTTATTAGTACATATTTGTCATACATACTAATCACATTCATCATAGGGAATTTGTACCTGTACATAACATATCTTAATCTTTTTTTCCCATTCCCCTCCCTTCAACCCTTCTTCCCTTTCCTATTTATACGTTTTGTTTCCTTTTTTCCTTTAATTCTTTTTTTTCCTTTTCTCTTCCCTTTGACTCATGAACGGTTTTATTTCTACTATGACTTGGCATGGTTTTTTTTTTTTTGTAAAAACTAAAAGAAAGCACGTCATGTTAATTGAGCAGATTATGTTTTTCCTTTCTTTATTTCACTTTCAAAGAAACATCACAGTAATGGTAATTAGTGCTAACAATGGCTAGGTCACTAAAAGCTATATGTCTATTTATTGTCAGTGGATAAGTGTAAGTTACTTAAAGCTTTCCCCCCAGTTTCCCATGAACATGGAATATCCTGGTTTCAGACCAGTGATGTTGCAGTCCAGAAGCTCAGTGCTTTTTCTGCAGTGATGATTAGCACTTGCTATGACTCTACTTCCTGAAACAAGAATGGTCTTATTCAGTAAGCATCTTTTGTATATTTTGTATTCTTATTGTGAACAAAATACTGTGTGAGAGGCTGTGTGTACTATAAATTGTTTTAAGCAGCCAGTTTTAAGGGTTTATCTGGTGATAAGAATGTTGAAAGTTCCTAGAAAGAGGTAGAAGAAGACAGTGGAAAGGAAAGAGGTGGAGCCATCATTACCACCACAGAGTGGAGAGTTGCTCTAACCTGTCCAGGAAAGTATTTAATTTTGGATGTCTTAGTAGACTAGATTGTTGTGGTATTGAAAACCTCTTAAAATGAACTACATTGTCTACATAAAAACCTCATGCAGACTGTAATTATATTAAAAATAGAAATGCAAACCTTCTAAACATTACCCAAAGTT